ATCTCGGGTAAAGAGGAATGGGTCCAGCAAGAGATAAAAAAAGTGACTGGCCTTTGGATTACTCCTTGGAAGCTTTATTTTGATGGTTCCTACACTCAGAAGGCCTCTGGAGCTGAGATTGTCATTGTGAACCCCCAAGGGGTTTATCATTATTACTCGTTCCTTATAGATTACCAAGGGAACACCAATAATCGGGCAGAGTATGAAGCCTTAATAATTGGTTTGGAAATCTTGATGGATCTGAGGGCAGTAGAGGTAGAGGTGTTGGTGATTCAGAGTTAGTAATAAACCAGCTAAATGGGGATTTCAAGTGCAGACATATCACCATGGCAGGGTATTACTTGGTGGCCACGCAATTGCTGAGTTATTGGGATTCTGAGATATCAGTTAATCATGTTCCCAGGGGATCCAACCTAGCGGCTAACGAAATGGCGCAATTAGCCTCAGGCATGGCAATACAGGAAAGAAAATATGGGGTAGATGTCGAGATTCAAAGAAGAAACCTTCCTTCTATCCTAGAAAGAGGATTCAGTCTGGATGTAATGGTTCTAGACACTAAGATAGAAGATTGAAGGTCGCCTATCATTCATCATTTAAATGATCCTTCTTCACCCACAAGCAAGAATAATAGACAGCAAGCAACCAAGTATGTCTTATAGGTAAAGAACCTGCTAAGGAAAACTCCAGACGGGTTACTATTGAAATGCTTAGGCCAAGAGGAATCTATGAGAGTGATGGCCGAGATAAATGTAAGTTTTGGGCAAGATGCAGTGCTTCCCATGGAGATCAATGTAAGTTTTGTCAGAATTCAAAATCAGTTTGGGTTACACAGTGAAGAGTACATCGAAGCCATGTGTCAAGGGATTGAAGACTTAGATGTAGCTCGAATTGAAGCCTTGAACCAGATTCAGGAAAGAAAGAGAGTTGTTGCCTGAGCTTATAACAAAAAGGTAAAGATAAAGTCTTTCAAAGAATGAGATTTAGTGTGGAAGACAGTCCTCCCTCTAAGGGCTCAGCTTAGGGGCTTTGGAAAATGGAGCCCGACATAGGAAGGTCCTTTCGTGATTAGTCGAGTATTAGACAAAAGAGGATACTACTTGGTGGACCTCGAAGGAAATTGGCAGAGACATCCCATTAATGTCAAATTCTTAAAAAGGTATTGTCCTACATTATGGGATGTTAGAGACTGTTATATTGAAGAGGATGCAAGATAAAGCAGGCTTCAGGATGTCAAAGTACAGTGTTTGTTCATCAACCATTCAAGAAGACAGAAAGATAAAAAGTTGATAAAATAATGTTTTATTCATTTTGACCAATTGGTGAAATTTACATCAGAGTCTGCCTCAGTGCACTATGTGTGGTTCCTTCTGGATGCAGTGGTGTCTCAACCAGTTTTCTGTTGTCTTCATGGATAAAACCTGATCAAGTGATCGGGTTGTGCGGCCAAGATGAGCCTGGTAGAGAACCCTCAATGCGAATCATCGCCAGGTATGATGGTGAAGCCCGACTTATCAAAGCAACGAGCAGGAGGGCAAGCCCTCAGAAGGAGACCGCCTGACCAAAGGTGTTAGAGATAGCGGGGTGTTTAACCAAAGGTGTTGGAGATAGTAGACATTTGATGAAAATCCTTTTTCTCACGAAAATGGAGTTTTAGGAAACCCCAATTGAATTCGGAGGAACCCATTTTCCAGTTTTAGAATAAAACTGAGAAGGCAGAAACATCTGAGGTTGATAAAAGAAAAGGGTGAAGAGGATCTGTTGGCTGGACAGGAGTAATTTCGAGCCTGAATTTACAGAAACCTCAGAGGATAGCTCAAAGGTCATGAGAAGAGCAAGAGATGCAAGATTGCATTCGTCTCGTTTAGAAAACACAAGTTCCGAGAAGAGGTATACAGGCATGCAGCTATTCAATCAATATTGACGCCTAAAGTGCCAGCCTGAATATTAATTGAAGGGGGCACTGTTTGGGTTAAAACTTGAACTTTGGGCTCAAAAGGGAGTTGGCCCAAAAGAAGGACTAGGAGGAAATGAGCCCGAAGCTCAGCCAAAGCCCAGAAGGCAGAAAATGGCTTTTCCCGACTAGGTGCAGATCATTTGAACCATTTGCTCACCTACCTAAAGACCAAGTGGTGTAGACCAGCCAGCTAATTAGCCCAAAAAGCACTTTACAGTGGCAGTACAAGTAAAAAGCTGATGAGTCATTGCCCTTCAAGCTACATTCGGGCAAGATTAATGCTACAGGAGGCCAAGCCAAACTGTCTATAAAAGAAGAAAGAGAAATCAGAGATAAGGACACTCAAACAAACAAACAAATACATAAACTATGTTCAAGCCAGATTTGCCTTTAACGAAGCTGTAGTCAGCCCAAGCCTTCATCCCTTTCGGGATCAACCTTCACCAAAAGCCTTTGTAAAAGCTCTGCTACCTTGTCTAAATCTTGTTGTAGTATCGATTTCCTTCTGTAAACTCATCCCTATATCCCTCTTTCTAAGCTCTCAAACCCTTTTATAAATCACAAAGATAGAAAGTTGCAAGACGACCAGCCTTGCCCGACAGGGTGAAACCTTGCCCGACCCTCTTTGTTTTTGTATTTTCATTCGTAAGTCTAGTAATATGTTGTATACTTCCATTTGTATCCAAGTTATTTCTAGCAAGTTAATGATTAAAAGACTTCTCAGTTCTTGAATCCGATTGGAATCTGTATTCACAGTTTAAATCAGATCTGAGTTCTAAACCCTCGGGTATGTAAGATTGATCATTCAAAAGTCCTTGGTCTCAAGGCATAAAAAAGAACTTTATGTGGACTTAACCCATCCACGACAGTCTTTGATAACAAGAAGTCCGAAGTTACTTAGGGCGCAAGTAATCGACTTATTTCTTAGTTGTATTTCTGTTATATTATGATTATCATGGAACGTTTGAGTATAGAAGTAATTCTGATGGGAAGTCTCAAGGCCTACATCTAAGGCCCTATAAAGGCACCTATTTGGATTCATTCTGCTCTTCGGGCTCGGGTAATTAGAAGTAGAATAGTCATAATACTTCTACAATCAATGAAACAAACATTATATGTTCGAGTACTGGGTTAGTTCGTGATTGTGAGCATCAAGGCCTACACCTAAGGCCCCAAAAAGGCACATTTCATAACTAAAACGGCCTCTTGGGTATATATACAACTAAAACTCAACATCTGCCATACTAAAGATGGCAGTGGCACGCCTGAACACTTAAAAATTAATCTTGATTGTGAGCCTCAAGGCCTATACCTAAGGCCCCACAAAGGCACATTTCAAAGTTAACCATGTCCTTCTCTTTTAGCTTTGCCCGACAAGCCCGCCAGTGAGTAGAAGCCCGACAGAAAGCATCAACCGACTCCAACCTCTCGGGGAGCTGTGTGCTCGTCTGCTAGGAAACATCCCAAACGGAAATTCTAACCACGAACATTTTGTTTATTGGTTTCTTTTTTTCAATCTAAAGGTTGAAAATAAAGAGAATGTGCACGAAGGGGAAGAGAGTGTAAAAATTATTTTCTATTAAAATTTTCTTTTGGTTAAAAGTAATTTTTTTTTCTTGTCCTTTTGACTTACAACAGGAGGATGGGGATTTGAGGTTGATACGACCACGAACTAGATGGTACTTGTACATACAAGAAAATTTATTGGTTTAAAGAAATAAAGGGTTGTTTGGAATTGCTTTCTAAGAGCTAAAGTGTTTTAGGACTATAAAAAACACAGCTAACTACTTTTGATAGAAAAACTATAAAAGCGTATGGGTCATAGAATTGTTATCTTGAGAATCACTTGCTATGTGTTCTTCAAGATGCACTTTCTGGAGCTTTCTAAAAAGCACTTAGATTTTCTATGAAAACTTCTACACACACTAAATGCTCTCTATAGTAAAAATGGGAGGTTATTACTTAATAGAGGTGTACTTACAAAAATTACTTGTTGACTTAGTTATCCTTCATGAAAGCTAAAGGGTATATGGTTACAAAGTATTACATTAATAGTGGAACATGTCAATTCCTAAGATGCAAACATTAGGACAGAAGAAACATTTATGCCAACAAAGTCATGAAAAATGATAGCTAAGGAATCCTGAAACATCCTTAGAATAAGTTGTAGTCGCTAAAGAAGGGACGTGTTCCAACCAATGAAAGCCAACATGATTAACCCCATAATTAGCTAAGGAATCAACAACCTAATTGTTGTCTCGAAAAATATGAGGAAAACGAGAACACATTATAGCTAAGAGAGTCAGAGAATTTGATCAATGAACCCTAAGACACCATGGCACCAATGAACTTGAAGAAGAAAGAAAGGACAATAATTTTGGTGTATGCTCACCATACACTTAATTATTTATCACGCGCTCTTTCACCTAACTCTAGTTAACTTTCACATTAAATGTTACTTTTTAAATTTTGGAAAAAATTAACCAAGGTTTAATGAAATGACACGTAACAGATGATTATGTGTATGATGAGCATACACCACAATTTATGACGATGAGCAAAATGCTCCCTCATAATTAAGGGAGGTCTTTGTTGACAATTACTAATTATTATTTGTGGAGGCAAGTTTATTAAAACAAGACCTAAATTTTTTACTTTATTACAATGTGAAGTTTATTTTTATATTATCCCTTTACACGCCTACGCATGTACCAATTGGGCATTTTTTAATGTTAAATTACGTACTTTTGTTTTTGAGTTAAAATAAAATTGTTTTCCTATTTTTTTAAAATTAAAAATAGAATTAAATCCATAAAATTTAAGGAAAACTTGAAAATTTTGAGTTTTAACGATAAAAACAAAATAAAAGGTAAAGTGAGTAGTACCATGATTGACTTTTTAATATAAAAATGTGGTTTTTCGTTAAAGTGAATAATACTATGAGCTTTTCGTTAAAGTTCCCTAAAATGTAAGGCAGTAATTGAACGAGATTAGGCCACAAAATTTGATCCCTAAAATTTAGTAAACTTGAAAGAAAGAAAAACAATCCTCAGAAAAAGAAAAACCAATCTCAATATAACCAGTCTTTGTAGTATCGATAGTTAATTCAGGGCGCAAAACGTGCTTGTTCACACCACAAATTACAAACCAGATGAGCAAGTGTGCATCCACGGTTGCAGCTATTTGATCATATTGGAACTACGGAATTATAGTGCTCACCAAGCCCAAATGCATGCTTATGGTATGACAACATAATCCGCGAATCGGAGGAACCAGTCGCGCTATCGGATTTGTACTCCTTGCCCATCTCCACATCAGGGAAGGATCCTGAGTATATCTTGATAGGCTTTTTGAGGCAGTGAGTTAAAGCACCAAGCTCTAGCTGTCCTCCCCATGCTGCTGTTGACTCCACTTCTTTACAGTAGTTCTCAAACCTCTCTGCAAGTGAATCATCAGAATCTCCATCTGCCGGATTCTCCGATAAGAAAAAAGGGAGAAAATCAGATGCATGCTTCCTCATATAAGCAGCCACCATTTCTCGAAGCTGTTGGTACGTGTAAGGTGATGAACCTCCTGAAAGGTGAGCCAGCTGATCCTGGATAGCTCGGTAGAGGCAATGTCCATCGGGCTTTATTTCTTTAATGATCAAGCCAAAGGGTTCGAGCTTTTTCTCTAGTTTCTCATCCTCAATCACTCGATCACTTACTAGGTTGCTCTGCTCTTCTTGAATTCTTTGCTCCCTAGCTGCATCTTGCTGAGCCCTCTTTTCTCGCCTCTTTGAGCTCTTGCTGGGCTTTGCATGTTCAGGTTGACTGGTGACAGAAACACCAGCTATGGCCTTCACTAAAGTGTCGAGTTTGCTCTTCTCATTTCCGTTACTAGCGCTATAGCCTAAGGAAGCAAGTTCTGCAGCCTGTTTTTCTTTGAGATTAGCAGAAAGCCGAGTAATCTGTTCCTCCACCTGCTTTTTCTTAGCTTTTTGTTCAGCCTTGCTCCCTTTGGCAGCTGCCTTTTTCATTCCAGTTTCCTTGTCCTGAAGTTTTGATATCTCTTTCCTGTATAAACAAACATGTCGTGAACAGGGGGAACGACATGGATAATTCGTAGGAAAGTTAACAAACTGGCCTCAATGAGCCTACAACAAATTCTCATTCTTACTCTCAACCACTTTTGGGAGAACATGAAAACGCCCTATGCATTTCATGATCGAATCGAATATCATCAACAAAGTTCATCAATTCAAATATCTTGAAGATACGTTTTCATATTACACGACCCACAAAAGCTTGTTCGATTACCTTACAGATTTAGATAACTAACCTTACTTGCATCACCAATGCGAACACCAGCCAAACACAACATCATATGAAATCCAAAAGATAAAAACCGATAACGCAAACTTAATGAGAAAATCACCTGTGCCTAGAAAGCATTTCATCGCGAGTTTCCTGCGTTTCCTCAGAAGCTTTGTCTGACATTGTATCAGATACTTCTTGTGCATCCTCCATTGAAACAACCCTGAAATCAACTTCGACAAATAATAACATCATCCATCACGAAAGTCGTCAAGTTAGAATCTTTACTAATCCTAGCCTGACCCAACATCTAAAATCAAAGCAGAAACCAAGAAATATTTCTATCCTACACCAAATCAAATCACAAAAAATAACCCCAATTATACAAGGAACTACACCAAATCAATCATAAAACGTAGTAATCCCAATTGGGATAATTCAACATTAAGAATTGAAATTTAAGAACTTTGAAAAAAAAAAATAACAACATTCAGAGACTGTTTTTTGGTTCTGAGAATTTGAATCAACAGTTTGGAAGCTTGAATATTATGCTAGGACTATGAACTTCAAATTCCAAATTTAATTTAGCTGATGGGTAGAACGAAATCAACTTACCCAAGAGTCCCCCTTTGCCGTCGACGGCGATCGCAAGTTAAGTCCTATGAAGCTTGTCACGGCAAAAGCCCTAACCCCTTATGTCTAAATCCTATTTCACTCAACTCTCCGCAAAAGCCCCAATTGAAAGGGGCCAAGGATAATTGTTTCACTTTCTTTAAATATTATTATTGTTTTCTTTTGTTAAAAAAATATTATTATGATAAAATAAAGAGACCGTTTTCCTCATTTCTTTTAACTTAAGGCTCGTTTACTAATCTGTAATCAAAATAGGTGGAATTGGATTGAAGGAGAATTGAATTAAGAAGGAATTGAATTGAGGAGAATTGAAATCCAGATTTTCATTAAAGCTATTTACTACAGTTTTCTGGAATCGGAGTATAAATGGTTATGTTTGAATATAAGTTGTTTACTAATTCTCCTGAATCGAAATGAAAATTTGTATGATTACTAGAATGCCCTTTATTATAAATAAATATTTTATAAGAACTTATAGGAAATCAAGTCAATTGGTATAAAATTAAAAATAAAAAACTAACCAACCAAACCCCAACCCAACTGTTCTTTCTATCTCTGCCTCAATCATCTTTCAACAATTTGAAATTCACGGTGGGTTTGAGGCCTATGGGAAGTGCTGGTTGTGGTGATGTAATTTCTTTGAAGTTTAGTTTACGGGGTATTTCGTGTTGATTTGAATGTGAGGGTTTGGTTTTTAACATTGTGTTAAAAATAAAATAACTAAAATGGGTTCTTCTTCAGCTTTCGCTTGATCTTGTTTTCTGGTTGTCGTTGTTGTCGAGGAACATGATGGTGGGTATGTGGCCTTGGGAAGACAGGAAGGGGGCGGTAGTGAGGGAGAAGGAGACAGACTAGAGCTGGGCACGGGTGCTGGTTTTATCATTGGAATTTCAGCAATTATGTGAGGGCATTATGGGTATGAAAAATGGATTCCCCATTCCCTCATTCTTTCGGAACTCAAATACCACTTACTATCAAGGGATCCAATTCCTCCAAAGTGAGGAATTGAATTCCAAACTTTATGTGGGTCCCATAATATTTTTGATTCCTTAAAATTTAGTAAACAAAGGAGTGGTCCGTAATCGGAATACGATTTCATGTTTTGATTCCCATTACGTGTACGTAAACGCCTTCTCAAAGTAATCATAAGTATTTGGCCTTACTGCATTAAACACACTTCAAGTTTGAGGTGATTCTCCCTCTCAAAACCAAACCCTAGGATCTGCAATCTTTACCGCCGGCTCCTTGCTCCTGCTTGGAGTCGGCGGCAGCCATTCCTCACCCTCCTCCTAGTCTCTCCCTCTCCCTGTGCCACCCTCTATCCCGCGCCTCCTTCTACCCTCCATTAGCTTCCCCCACCCCTTTTTCTTCTTCCCCACCTTTTTGTGCACAGTTGTTTCCATGATTTCGGGTCTCCTTCCCAGATTCGGGTTATAACTTCTCAAGGTATTCCGTTTGTTTGAGTTCGATTCGGGGTTTGGGCTTAGATTGGGGCTGCTTGGTGGGTCGGAGCCACTTCCCTCGTCATTTCCAGGTGTTGGGGAACCCCCATCTCTGTGGATGCACCCCTATACTCCTATTTGTTGATGCGCCGCTTTCTGCGATGTCTGGGCCGCATGTTTTGGCGGTTCCGCCACCTCCTGTCGTGCTCGTTGGAGTTGCACTGCCTTGGGTGGTTAATCTGACGTTTGTCTGTCTGGGCCGCCTGTTTTGGCTGTCCCACCACCTACGGTTTTCCAGATCTGTAATCTCCATTGCTGTGGCTCAATGTGTAGCTCCGTTGCCTTTCTCGACTTGCTGATGGGACTGCCCATCCGCAATGGCCTTTCTCTTATTTAATTGTCCAATCCTTCCATCGGAATGTGCTGATTTGTGGTTCATTTCTCTGAGTAGTTTTGCTTAGTTTGGTTTTTTTTTTTTTTTTTCAAGCTAGTTTAGCTTAGTTTAGTCTTGTTGTTCTCGCCTAACTAGTGTTGTGGTCACACTACAACGTTGGCTGAATATGGTTTTCACTTTGAGCAATGTGTTATGTGGTCTCGTTTAGCTACGATGACTTTATGTGGCCTAGCTATTCGGCAGTGATCCTTTGCAGTTGCTGATACAAGTTGTTATATCTATCGTTCTGTGACAGCTTTGTGTGAGGGCGTTGAAGTTTAGTACATATGGTTGCTATCTAGGGGTTTATTATTGTTGTCTTGCTCAAGCAAATTCACCTCCAGATCATTTCTTGGTCACTGGAGTATTGTACCAAATGGGCACCTATGTATTGTTTCTGAGATGATTAATGAAATTCCAATTTATCGTTGTTTGTCAAAAAAAAAAAAAAAACTCAAAGTAATTGTTACTCCTTCTTCATAATTGTGTCACGTGTCAAAATACCAACCATAGTTTTTTTTTTAACAAACAATATTATCTAAACTAAGGGGGAGGGGTGGGCTTAGCCTCACAATATGTTAGTAATAAATTGATTCAAATTCACCTTTAGCGAGAATCGAACCTAAAACCTCTCATTTACAAGTGAATAAAAATATCATCAAACTATAGTATTAAGTGGCCAATACCAACCATAGTTAGTATATACTCTTTATACACGTGACACAATTGTGAAGGGGGAGGGATTAACGATTACCTTGGATTAGGAGGGGTGAGCAAAAATGAACAATAAACTAAAGCATAATGGGCTCATTTGATACATATAATTGAATTAAAATGAATAACCTACTAAATTATGAAAAAAAAAAGAGCCCAACATTCATCTATTATTCAGGATAAAATTTTTGGCGAGAATCGAACATAAAACCTCTAATTTACAAGTGAATAAGAATATCACCAAACTATAGTATTAAGTGGCCAATACCAACCATAGTTAGTGTATACTCTTTATACACGCGACACAATTGTGAAGGGGGAGGGATTAACGATTACCTTGGATTAGGAGGGGTGAGCAAAAATGAACAATAAACTAAAGCATAATGGGCTCATTTAATACATGTAATTGAATTAAAATGAATAACCTACTAAATTATGAAAAAAAAAAGAGCCCAACATTCATCTATTATTCAGGATATTGGTTAGGTTGTTTTATTAGAGCATCTTACACATATGGTAAGACCAATGTGACGTTTGGTGGTATTAGAATATAAAACGTATCATGTTTTACAAATAACGTGATCGTAATTACCTACCCAAAATTTTCTAATATTCATAGAATTTGTATTAGAAAATAAAATTTTCAAAAGGAAAGGTGCAAATATAGGGTTTTTTTTTAGCAATATTTTAATGAGATCCGAATTAAGAAATATGTATTCTAATTGGAGTGCAAAGAGCATTGCTGCGTCATCATCCAATCATAAATCTAAATGCCTTTGTCAGTGGTGTCATCATGCATGTTGATTGACGAGGACAGTGCTAAATTTGCAAATGTCATCCATCATGGTCATGAATGTAGCTTTATTTATCTTTATTCTTGTATTGGGTGGGATGAGTATATGTTTATGGAGGATATACGTGTCATATTCTCGGATTTTAATTCATATCAGGATTCTTTGCATGTAGAAGATCATGCAGAACACTCCCGAAGATGCATCTATTCCCTAACGTAATGTTTCAGCCCTCAAATGAAAGCTCTTTCTCTCTTGGAGTTTTTGGGATGAGATTGCAGTGGTAGGGCAGTTGACTTACTAACACATAACGGTAGAGTTAGGATTTTAGCTTGGAAGGAGCCCAAAAGTCTAAATCCGAAACATTCATTTGATTTTACAAAAATTATTTTGTCATGTGATGGGCAACCGACCACCATCGTTGGGATCTTGTATGATGTCGTCCTCATCATTATCCTCTTTCTGAAACTTAAACCTCAAGCTCTTTGACTTTCTTCCTCTCTCCTTCCACAGATCCCTAGACCAGACTCCTCTTCAAAGCTCACAAGCAGCAAATTGCCTGAACTCTATAAAAGCTACAAATCTCAAATCAAACTCAATGAAAAAAATTAAAGTAAAAAACGTCGGATTAGGGTCTGTGCCTATAGAAAAACCTTACAAATTATAAGCATAATACTAAATTTTTATGCGTGAAAACAGTCAGAATGAACCTGGGACCATCCTGGTTCCTTCATAGCTTCGCCTCTACATAATAGAGAAATAATGATCCGTCAAAACAAAATCAAGGTTCCGAGTTTGATTTCCCGCTTCTCACTATTACTTGTATTAAAAAAAACACACACACACACACACACACAAAATGACATTATCATATATCACCACAATAGGTATAAGTACCAACTGACATGCATACGCATGCATTATTGATTATAGATATGAAGGAATAAATTGAACATTATCATATATCGCCACAATAGGTAAAAGTACCAAACATAAATCATAATTTTTGGAGGTCGGTCATGTAAGTTAGTTTCTCATTCGACAACTGTTAAATGTCCCTATCCCTAAATATTCATTGAATTTCATGGTAGGACCTTATCGAACAATTCAATTGGATAAACCCTTATCTTTCTCCACATCAGCCACGTACATGAACACTACCATATTCATAAAAGAAACAAACACACAACATGCAATGCAATCCGGACAGAAAGCAGTTTGATGCACGCATGTAGTACTCGAGGAATAATGTTACAATTATCGTTTATTTGTATCATTATTTGAACTATTTTCTAATAGAGGTAGTATCCGTCAAAGCATATGGGTCTCATCTATATTAGATAAATACCACAAATGATGGTACAACTATGTGGTAAAAGTAACATTTTTTAGTACTCGAGTGATATTGGGAAAGGGGAGTCAACACATTTTAACAAATTTAGATCAATCACTTAAATTATAAGTCTCTTATTATATCTTTATGAATTGTATTGTTTTAGGGAGCCAACATGGTTGGTTTAGTTAGTAAGGGCGTGCTTGTGGTTAACACCCAATCCAAGTTCTTGTTTATGCACGATCTATGAACTAATTCCAACGTAAATCCATATTGGTGGCACCTAACAATTAGGTGTCACGTGTAAATACTTATGGCTTGAGATTGTAAGTATGCCCTCATGCTGCTAGTGATAGTAACCTATTTCCCCATAAACTTTTCTTTATTAAAAAAGAGAATTGCTAGTGATAGTAACCTATCTCCCC